TTCAAGGGCGGTCTTCGCTGGCCTTGGCGCCCTGACTTATGCTGAGACCGTTTCTAGGGCTCAGCAGATTGATGAGAGTCTCCGACTGGACAAGAGGAGAGGCTGAGGCCACCAGAACAGGAGGGTCAGACCGAGGGGCCCAGCTCCAGCTCCGCCCGCTCAGCCACTTCAGCAGGTTGTACCAGCCTGTGCTACATGTGGACGCCACCATCCTGGTGAGTGTCCTGCTGGGCGAGGCATCTGCTTCCATTGCCGGAGGCCAGGACACCGGAGGGAGGATTGCCCAGATAGAGTTCAGCATCAGCAGGGTCAGTGTCAGCCAGCCCCGAACCAGCCACGTGGAGCACCAGCACGCGTCTACGCACAGGCCACCGAGCAGCCAGGTACCATGTCCGGGATGATTTCTTTATGTGATGTGCCTATCTTTGTGTTGTTCGACACTGGGGAGACACATTCGTTCGTCTCAGCCAAGTGTCTGGAGGCCTTAGGAGTCCGAGGAGTGAGTGTCGTCGACCCCCTCGAGATCAGCTTAGCTTCGGGGAGGAAGATAGTTACGAGCTCCTTGGCCGAGAATCTTATTATGAGTATTGGTGGCAGAATATTAGTGGTGGATGCGTTCGTGATCAAGATGAGGGACTTTGGCCTCATTCTCGGCATGGATTGGTTGGAGAGATATCAGGCAGACATTCGATGTCGTGATAGAGAGGTGACACTACACTTAGCCGAGGGAGATCGTATCACGTTCTTCGGGACGAAGACGAGGACCCTACCCCGAGTCATTTCGATGGCGAAGGCGACTAAGTGTTTGCAGAGAGGGAATTGCCAAGGATACCTGGTGAGCATAGTTGGGGAAACTTCGGAGGAGCGGATGCGCGGAGATGTACCCATTGTGCGTGATTTCGTGGACGTCTTCCCAGATCAGCTACCGGGAGGACCACCTAGTCGTCACGTGGAGTTCACGATCGACCTGGTGCCTGGAGCCGGGCCAGTGTCGAAAGCGCCGTATCGTATGGCGCCGAAGAAGCTTCAGGAGTTGAAGGCTCAGATCCAGG